CAGAATCCGAACCCGAGGATCCCGCAAGCGAAAAACAAGCACTGGCCTGCACAGGCCGCAACGTCAAAAGCCCAGGATCCGAGTCCCCTGGAGAATATTGCCAGAGCTGCACAGCGCTGTAGCATCCGTCCCTACTGCCATCGCCTGACCACACAGATGACGTAGGGCTTGATCGCGCTGAGGTACCCGAGGTGCTGGTGGTAGCCGAAGTTGGGCGCCCATCCCACCTGCCGAGCCACCTGCTCTCGTGGTCGCACTGGTACTTCAGATGACTCAGATAACAGCCATCATCGCACCCACCATCAGACTCACACGAATCATAGCCGCTGCTCTCATCAGGAACATCATCAGAAAGCGCCCCCAGCACGTCCATACCCGTCGAGCTGGTGTCGGAGCTGCACTCGAATTCGATCACCTGCACGAGGTGGTCGCTCCAGGTCACGCTCCGCCTGTCGAAGCTGCACTCGTGGCCGCACCCACTGCCGCCCCCACACCCGCCTCCATCCTGCCGTCGATCGCTGATGCCTGGGTGTGGCCCCTGCCCTCCTTCCTCGGCGGGGATCGGATCATCCCGTCGCCAGCGGCACACGCCTCGTCGATCTTCCTGACCTCCTTCTGCACTGTGTTGGCTGTCACACTCTGCGACGGCGGCGGCATGTACGGGTCGGGGAGGTCCCCCGAGAGCAGACCTGCGACCATCTCCTGCGTCGTCGAGATCGGGCTCGGCTCCGTCGGGACTGGCGTCTCCTCGGCTGTCGGTGGCACCTCTGGCGCTACCACCGCCGCGGGCTGCGTGCCAGCTGGGGATGTCTGCGAGCACCCCATTGGCGTCGGCATGCCCCACGCCGGTGTCCGCTGCGCTGGCGGCGGGGTGGAGTCCACATGGAACGGGCTCGCCTCTTTCGACGGCGCTCCTGGCGTGGACGCCGCCCCTGTTGTCCTCGCCGTCGGTGTCCTCGGTGCAGGGCTCGCCGCCGCCGCTGCTCCTGCCGCTGCCGCCGCCGCCTCGCGTCCCTGCTGCTGCTGGAACTGCATGTTCCTCATTGCCGTTTCTTCGGCCTGCCTCGCCATCGCCTCGGCCATGCCCATCGGCGGCGGCATGGGCGGGAACACGGGCGTCGCCTCCGCCCTCGCGGCCGCCACGGCAGCCGGCTCCGCCGCCCCAGGCCGCAGGCCCGCCGCCACGGGCGGTGCCGCTGCCGTCCCAGGCGGCGGCCCTGGTGGCACCGTACTGGGCTGATGAAACCCCATCGCCTGCATGACGAAGTTCATCTGCCTGTCCTGCTGCTCCATGCGCATGATCATCTGCTGCATCATCACCGTGACTGGGTCCGTCGGCGCCGTGCCCGCCGCAGCGCCATGCTGCGGGGCCGCCGTCGCACCGCCAGGCGCAGCGAATGCCCGCTGCTGCTGCGGCTGCGACCGCCCACCACCACCCATGTGCACGTCCCGCACGTGGTCCTCGGCCTCCTCCTCTCGGCGCGCCTCCTCGAGCTCCACGATGTATTCCTGCAGCCGCCCCAGCTCGTCTAGGATCTCCGACTCCTGCTCCTCGAACATCTGCATCCGCGCTCTCGTGTTCCTCAGGCGCTCCAGCGCCTTCTCCCTCTTGGCTTTCATCTCCACCAGTTGTGTATCCGTCGGCATCGTGCTGCCCATCATACACTTGTACACACTCAGCTTCGTGTCCAACCTCGCCACATCCTCAGCTTCGCCCGCACGACGTGCTCCCATCACCATCTTGGCGACTTCCAGCATCTTCATCCGCGTCTCGTCTTGGAACTTCTTCTGCACTATAGCGTCTGGCGACGACGCCTCCGCGTAGTACTCGTAGTCCACCGCTTCTGCCTTCGTCATTGGCACCACTCGGCTGACGTAGGTCTTCACCGCCTTGTCTGCCGCTTGTGCCTCCCTTCTGGCTGCACGGCTCGCACTCCTTTGACGGTCTCTCTGCCGCTGCCTCTCCTCCTGCTGCCTCCGTGACTGGTCGACGGCCCTGTCGGCGTTGGGGAAGGCGCTCTGCACACCGCCACCGCCGCGCTGCCTCGCAGCCGACTGGTCATCCTTCACCCTGTTCTCGTATGCCTGCCCGCAGAGGCACAGCTTGTGGCCCTCCACATACCGCCCGCACGGGCAGTTCCACCGACCAAACGACATTGCTTTCTGGGGCCGTTGTGCCGAATGATGAGCCCCTAAGAGCTGCCGCGCGCGGACAAGGGAGAGAAGTAATCGTGCCTCGTGCCACTTGGCACGCTGCCTCCGATGCCACGCTGCTTCGCGCCCTGGGCGCGGAATCGCGGCGCCTGAGGTGCGCGCGCCTGAGGTTCGGCCCGCCAAATGGGCCCTCTCCACCTGAGGATCGGGCCGCTCGGGCCAAACCTTCTCCTCCTCCTCCTCCTTTTTCTCCTCCTCCTCCTCCTCCTCCTCCTCCTCTTTCTCCGCCTCCTCCTCCTCCTCCTCCTCCTCCTCCTCCTCCTCCCCCTCCTCCTCCTCCTCCTCCCCCTCCTCCTCCTCCTCCTCCTCCTCCTCCTCCTTCTCCGCCCTCCTCGTCCCCGGCCTGCTCCGCCCTCCTCGTGCTCTCCCTCGCCCTCGTCACGCCCTCCCCCCTCTGCCTCATCCCCCCCTCCTCGTCTGCCCCCTGCTCCTCGTCATCCCCCCCCATCGCCGTCCTTCCCTTCCCCCTCCCCTGTCTCCCCCTCCAGCTATGACGACGGCGAGGACGATAACGACAGCGAGGCCCAGGACGACGACGTCGAGTAGGACGACGAGTACGACTACGAGTGCGATGACGACGACGACGACGACGACAACGACGATCACGGTGTTTACAACGATCACTACGATCACGACGACGATCACGATAACGACGATGGCGACCATGACAACCATGACGAATAACGACCACGTTGACACCCACGTCGAGCACGACGACCCCGACAGCGGCGACTGCGACGGCGACGGCGACGGTGACGACGACAACGACGTTCCGGTACGTTCAGTAAATTCAGAAAAACATCCGATTGCTTTTAGAGACCTCAGGAGACCTCCACACCTCTTCGACATGATCGCTCAACATCCGACGACATTCGGATACCGCCGAATAGGATTCAATGTGTTTGACTTTTGTTGCCAGCGTGCACCCCAAACAGTGAGTAGCCTACTGGATGCAACAGCTATGTGATGCAACACATGTGGAGTGAGCTAGGTGGTGTAAGCTGTGCGGCGGAATCCGCGTGGTATGCATTTTGCGGCGCAAGTTGCGCGGGGTATGCTGTGTGGTACGAGCTAGGTGTCGGCAAACCGTGGGGGTGCAGGCCGTGTGGCGCCGGCTCTCTGGTGCAAGCCGTGCAGCCGCCCACGGGCGGCCCCCTTCTCCCCTGGCCGACCTCCGACGCCGTGTTTTTGGCTGGCGCGTGGGCCCCCAGGGCCATCAGCTCCCTTCCGCGGGCCAGGTCCCCGTCCCCGGTTGCCTGTCTCGGCGGCCAGCGGTGGGGGGGGGGACTGAGACGGCGAAGGCTGTCTCGGAGGGCGGCGGGGCCTCTCAGAAAGCCTGCGGCCTTCCGAGAGGTGTTCTGTGTCTCCGGGCACGGCTTCGAAGACTTCTCAGAAGGCAGGGGTGCAATCGGGCCGCTGAAGATGTAACCCTTCTCGTTGGGGAGCGCCTTAGTATTCCTTCCTTGTGTCGCAGCTTGTCTTAGGCTACCCTCGGCTCTTCTGTGGGATCATCGAAGTTTAACTCATGGGAAAAGTGGCATCGTGCCTTATGTTGGGTTCCTCGTGACAGCGTTGTGATTGCACATGCTTCCGAGCCTTCTGAGAAGGCCCGCCCCTTCTCACCTAGATCTCCGAGCTGGGTCAGCCGAGGCGCGCTAGAGCCCCCCCCCACGTGTGAAAGTACCGCGTGTACAGCGCACTCTGGGCACTTGAGCTGTATGGCTGGTCTCTCGCATGCCAGCCGTCGGACTCGTGCACCTGCGGAGCTCCGCCGCCGCCGCTCCCCCGGGGCTCGCCGCCGAGGGTCTCGTGGCACTCCCGGGGGCCCGACAGCGGACCCGCGGGAGATGGCGAGACGAAACGTGGAGAGGGCATCGGCGGCGCGCACCATCGGGGCGGCGCAGGGGGGAGGGGAGGGGGAGCTGAGAGGGCGGGGGGGTCCTGAAAAGGCTGTGGGGAGGAGGATGGGGGGGAGGAGGAGGAGGAGGAGGAGGAGGAGGAGGAGGAGGAGGAGGAGGAGGAGGAGGAGAGGAGGAGGAGGAGCAGCAGGAAGATCAGCAGGGAGGGAGGGAGGAGACACTCTAGGCCTCCCAGATGGGGTCCGTGGGTTCGGAGGGTCGTGCCGCTTCGCCGATGCATCGGCGATGCGGCTCGATGTAGAGCCTGATGTTCTGCACGTCGACGTCGCCGATGCGTTGCTGATGTCGGCGATGCATCGTTGATGCATCGGCGATGCGGCGCGACTCTCCGTCCCCATCAACTCACACTCTCTTTGGGAGGCCTTTAGAGAGGGAGCGAGGGAGGAAGGGAGGGGAGTGAGGAGGAAGATTATCAGAGGGGAGGGAGGAGGAGAGTGAGGAGGAGGAGGAGGAGGAGGAGGAGGAGCACATCGCCTTCTCTCAGAAGGTCGCCCCCCTCGCGCTACACCCCCCGCGCCTCACGCCGCCAAGCAGCACGCCAGGAAATCGACAGACTCACGATGACTTAGGCCTGGGCCTCCAAAGGTCTCCTGGGCCCCTCGGCCCTTTGATCCCCCCTCCGACCCTTCGACTTGTCCTCCCCCTGGCGATCCTTCCGTCTGCAGCTTCGACCCTTGGAGCCGGCGACTATCGATGCATATCCATATATACATATATATATGCAGATATATATATGTATATGTATATGTATATGTATGTGTATATATATATGGAGATGTTCATGCAATCCGTATAGTGGGTGTATATATATATATGTATACGTAACGATATTCGACGTCTGATCCTTCGAGCCTTCGAGCCCGCAAGCACCCCCAGGTACGGCTTCTGCGACGCCAACCTTGGTGGCTTCTACGACCCGGGACGCGCCGGCGCCTCGGGACGCGTCGGCGCCCACTGTCGGCGGCGGCAGAGGTCGTCGGCTTCGCCAATGCCGTCGTCGCTATCGCCGTCGTCGCTGCCAAACCCACCGTTTTGTTCCAAAGCAGCGCAAGACGTCGCCCCACGGCTCAGAACAACATGCAGGCGCGCCCCGGCTTTGCGCAGCGCGCGCCCCGCCAACCCACACATCCCATCATTCCTCAAACACCTTTTCTCCTTCACTCCCTCTACCCGCCCTCCCCCTCGATCTTCCTCCTCCTCCTCCTCGGTCCATCCCTGTCCTGCCCCTCGATCCTGTCCTCATCCTTCTCCTCCTCCCCTCCGCTTGCAAAGCCGCGGCGAACAACCAATTATTCGGAATCTCGGCAGCAGCCGGCCCACCACGTGCTTGAAGACCATGGTGCTTCGACTTAGCGAGGGAAACGGTGCCCAAGGATTGGATCGGTTATGGGTTCGGCCACGGACCCTCTGCCAAACGCCACCGCCAGGCGTGCGTGCAGAAGACCGCCAGGGACTGCTGAAGACAGCCGAAGACCGCCCAGGGCCGATGGGTAACAAGGGTGGGCTTCATGGTCGACGATGAACGACGGAATAAAAGGAAACAGAGGGCTCCGAGCGGCTCCCCTAGAGGCCCTCCCAGATGTATTCCCAGAGGTCCCCTCAGAGGTCCCCCAGAGGCTTCCCCGGACGGTCCCCTGGAGGCCCCCCCCCCACCTCAGATGCGCCCCCCTTCAGAGCGAACGAACCAAAATCAGAGGCTCCGAGCGGCTCCCCCAGGAGATCACTCTTTGGATCGTCCGCGAGGGGGTTGCGCGATCCCCAGCGCGTGCGGAGGTGCGGTCCTCCCTGGGCGGCTCAGGCCCACACCCGCAAGAAGGCAGTGCACGTGCATGAATCCACATAGGCTTCGAGAGTGCGCATTGCACGAGCGTTCGTATCACGAGGCTGGTCTCGCGGACTGGGGGGCCTTATTCATGTGCGTGGTTGGGCGCGTAAGTCCTTTGCGGGCCTCCCCAAAGGGAGCCTCAGGCCACAGGGGAGCTGGCCACAGGCCCAACCCTTGAGTAATTTGATGGGTATCCGATAGGAACCCTGTAAGAACCCTAATGGGATGCTATCGAGATCCAAAGGGATCCTGAGGACCTCTGAGGAACAACTCAGACCCCAAGTGTCTCCAAGTGAGGTCAGTGGCCTGTTCTTTTCGGGGGCCTCCCCAACGAGTGAGGCTCGCGCCTGACGTACGGGCCCCAGCTGAGGGCTGCGTGTCCATAGGGGTACCCGTCGGCCAGTGCAGTTTGCGTGCTGTGAGCCTTAGAGGGGCTCGCATCGTGAGAAATCTGGTTTCGAAGGAACCCTCTCAGAGTACAGTCAAGTTCTTTCGGGTTCCAAGGCCGTTAGCTTGACAGGGACTCCATGAGGATCTGCTGTGCATTGCTCCTTCTCCCTTCTCGGAGGGCGTCGGAGGGGGCGGAAAAGGCGGCGGGGGGAGGGGGGGTGCTCGCACGTGCGGCGGCAAACCGTTGCCCCCCAGGCGGCTCCTGCCTCCACGCCCTCAAGAGAGAGCCCGCTCCTCCTCCTTCTCCTCCTCCTACCCTTTTCCTCATCCTCTTTCTCCTCCTCCTCCTCCTCTCCTCCTCCTCCTCCTCCTCCTCCTCCCCTCCTCCTCCTCCTCCACTCCTCCTCCTCCTCCTCCTCCTCCTCTCCTCCTCCTCCTCCTCCTCCTCCTCCTCCTCCTCATCCTTCTCCTCCTCCTTCTCCTCCTCCTCTCCTCTCATCCTCTCCTCCTCCTCCTCCTCCTCCTCTCTCCTCCTCGGTCCTCCTCCTCTTCCTCCTCCTCCTCCTCCTCCTCCTCCTCCTCATCATCATCATCATCATCATCATCAGCATCATCATCATCTCCTCCTCCTCCTCTTCTCCTCATCCTCCTCCTCCTCCTCCTTCTCTCCTCCTCTCCTCCTCCTCCTCCTCCTCCTCCTCCTCCTCCTCCTCCTCTCCTCCTCCTCCTCCTCCGCCCTCCTCCTCCTCCTCCTCCTCCTCCTCCCCTCCTCCTCCTCCTCCCCTCTCCTCGTCCTCCTCCTCCTCCTCCTCCTCCTCCTCCTCCTCCTCCTCCTCCTCCTCCTCCTCCCCCGCCTTCTCCTTCCAGACGTACTGAAGATCATCTTAGCGATTACTCAGATCTATTCCGAGGTCTTTGGCTTATAGCTCACTGCAGCGCTCATCTGGCCAAGACGCAGGCCAAGAAGCAGGCAGCAATTCGCCTAGGCCAGAGTCCCAGGCAGTTTGGATGTCGTCTGTCACTGACCTAGTTGCGGACTCCATAACTCCTCGCCTTGTTCAGATCGGAGAGGACGGAGGGGGAGGGGGAAGGAGCGGGCGGGGACGAACATGTGCAGTTTGTTTCGACCCCGCCGCCACGCGCTCTCCCCAGTACATGGCCGCCTCTTGCGCCAGGAGGCGCGGGGCAAACCAGTACCTCCTTGCAGGAACGTTGAATCCATGTATGGTAGGTTCATGCGGGGTCGCCGCGCTGGCGACGCCAGCGAAGGCGTTCAAGGTTGAATTCTGCGACGCGGAAGCACCGAGGGACACGGTAACGCCGTAGGCCCGACGGAATTCAACCGTGAACGGTCTGGGCCGCGATCGATTCAAGGTTGAACGATCGACGCGTTGTCAAAAGCCTTTGCGCAAGCGGACACCGCACGAACTTACCGTAGACAGTTCTGGAGATCCGCTCGGATTTCTTGGATCGGCGCTGGATCCCCTCCGTTGCGTTTGGTGTGCGCCAGGGGCGGCGCTGGAAGCGCTGGCAGGCGTTTTCCTTTTTCTGTTACGCTCCATTTGCTCCCCCCCTCTCTTTTGTCCACCCCGACTGCCTGAGGTTCTGGCGATGTGAGTCTCCCCTCAAGGGTCAAACTGGCTCGGGGAACGCGGCAGAAGAATCTTGCCGAGGGCTGAGGTTGTGTGGTTTGCACGCCATGAGTTCTCACGATGTGGAATATCGCGGCCCTCTTCCGCCTCCTTTTCCTCCCCTTTCCCGCCAAGATTGTTTGCAGTTGCTGTTGATAAAAGATGCGCCACCCCCGCCGAGCATGGAGCCGTCGACCTCCGATGTATCGCGGGCGCGTCCCAGAGGAAGTGTGGTTACTTTTTGCGAGTTGCGGCCGCATCGAGCGCTTGCCAAGTTGCCGAGGCCGATATGGACACTCTCAACATGTTTGTGCAGTCCAACGGCATTCAGGACGATCGCACCGTGAACCTTGCATTGGCTCAGCCGCGAGCCTCGTTCAGCTTCTCACCGGTCTTTCACGACTTTGGATCACACGCGACGAGCGTTCCATGTGTGCCTATGGCGGGCGTGGTGCACATGATGGTGAAGGGTGTTGGTTGGTTTCTGTCTCGCCCAGTCTGGTGACCGAGGAGCGGATTGTGTGAGAGCATGTCTCTGCCTGGGGTCTGGGCGCCTCCCTGCTGGAAGAGGTGGTCCGCTCACCTCGACGGTCGCCGGATCTGAGCACAAGTCTGCCGCCTTCTGGCGAGACGCCTGCCGCTTTCTGGCGCTCCTGCCTTCGCGTGCGAGGGCACAGCCCGCGGGGGTGCGCGCAGGGCGCCGCGGCCTACGACCGCATGGACCGCACTGCAGCCGTCATCCTCGCCACGTTCACCGAGCGGTCGCGAAGATGAACGTGCCTCACGCTTCGCTGTACAGGCCGGGCATCTGCCCTTCCGCCTTGCAGTCGCCATCTTCGTCACGTCAACCGAGCGGGCATGAGGATGACCGTGTTTCGCGCTCCGCTGTCCAGGACGGACATCTGCCCTTCCGCATTGCAGTCGTCCCCTGAGATCCGACGTCTCGAAAAAGCTGGGACAGCGAAAAACCACGACTGGACAGATCTATCTGTGAGGGCCGCGGGGGCCTAGACTGGGCGACAACGCCATCGGCTCGAAAAATTGGAGTCGCCAGGATCTCAGGGTCATGCTCGCCACGTCAAACGAGCGAGTGCGAAGAGGACCGTGCCTCGCGCGCTTCGTGGTCCCGTCCGGACGTCCTCCCGGGCGTCGGGCGGAGCAGCGGGGGCACAGTGAACGCGCGCAGGGGGGGAGGGCTCAAAGGATGGTTGCAGAATGGCCCCGCATGGCCCCTGGCAACCGCCAACGCGGGCCCCAAGAGGCGCACAAAAGGTTCAAGTAGTGGCGAAACGTCCTGGCATGCTTATAGGCACACCAAAAAATATTATAAGAAACTTGTGTGGTCTGCACGAAATGTTCTTAGAACATTTCTGGCCGAGACTGTCTTGTTGTAAAACATCGTCTATATGTTCTACGAGCATTTTTTGTCTTCAGAACCTTTTTGTGTTCTAAGAACTTGTCTGGGTAGGCCTATGGGAATGCCGGGACGGTCGGTCCCTGCTCAAAAGGTGCACCTCTCGTTCCCCTCCCGCTAACAGCATGTGTCGGAATGGCGAAACGTGGGATGCACGGTGAACGCGGGGGGGAGGTGGAGGAGGAGGAGAAGGAGGAGGAGGAGGAGGAGGAGGAGGAGATGAGGAGGAGCGCGTGTCCTAGGAGGGAGGACTGAGGAGGAGGAGGGAGGAGGAGGAGGAGGAGGAGGAGGAGGAGGAGGAGGAGGAAGAGGAGAACGAGAAGAATGAGGACGAGGATGAGGCGAAGGACGACGAGAAGCAGGGAGGAAACGAGCGTACGAGGGGGGGGGTGCTCAAAAGGACAACAGCCAAGTGGCCCCGCAGGGCCACGGCGCCGCCAAAGCGCGGGCCCAAGAGGTTCACGTGGCGGAATGTGGAGGACCGGTTCTCATGGCACCCGGCCCCTTAATTATCAGCCGAGAAGGTAGCTGACCGGGCAACAATTCGGTTGCCGAAAACGTGCCCGAAGTTGTAACCGAAAACGTAGTGCAGCCTACGTTGTGACCGAAAACGTAATGCGACCGAAATTGCGACCGAAATTGAAAGCGTCTTGGCTGCGAACCAAACATTCTGGAAATCTCGGACGCGGCCGGAATGCTTTGGGCGGCAGTTTCGGTCACACTCGGGCTGATCTTCGGGCACAGCTTCGGTCACAACGCCTTCCTGATCGAGACGAGGCTACGCGACAGTTCTTGACCTCGGCAAGAGCTCATTCACGTTTTTCCTCAGAGGCCACGGCTCTTCTCGTCCCGCCCAAATGGGCGCGGCTCTACCCGCAGTGCGGCCGGATGGACGCTCGGTCGCTCGCTCACCCGTTTATTGCCCTCCCCCTCAACGAACGCCCCAGGGTGGCAAGGCGCGAGGTCGCGCAGACCACCGCCGCGCCTCACGACCTCGTGCGGCGGGAAGCTCGGGGCTTGGTGACCGCAGGTCCCTGGAGGCCTCCAGAAACTTGCGAAGGACCCAAGGTTCTAGGTCTTCAAGATGTGGTCGGAGCTGGTGGGGTCGGAGGATCGCTCCGCATCGCCGATGCATCGGCGATGCAGCTCGATGTGGAGCCCGATTTACTCCACGCTGACGTCGCCGAGCATAGCCGACATCGCCGACGCATCGCCGATGCATCGGCGATATATCGGCGATGCGGTGCAATCCTCCGACCCCCCATATACTCGGACCCCATCTGGGAGGCCTCTAGAGGTGCCCCCAGGCCTTCCTCCCCTCAGATTCGAGTGGTAAGGCGGACGAGGAGGGGAGCGCTCGGGCGCCCCTCTCGGAGGTTGACACGAGCCTCCCCCCCCCCAAGCAAAAGCCGATCTGCGAATGGTCCTTTCCCTCGGTCCTCGAGAGGGCGGTGCGGCCGCATTGTGTTTTTTGCGGGCCTGGGTCCGTCAGGTCTGGCCCTGGGCCGTTTGCACGAAAGGGGGTGCTTTACTGTCCTCGATCCCTCGATCCCTCGATCCTCGATCCCTGGATCCTCGACCCCTCGATCCTCGACCCCTCGATCCCTCGATCCCTCGATCCTCGATCCTCCTGGATCCTCGATCCTCCTGGATCCTCGATCCTCACCTCTGAAGGGGCTCCGCCCACCCCTGGCTCGGGCGCGCCCCCGCGGCTGGTGCTCGGCGCCCGCGCGAGAGCGTCAGGACCTCCAGCCCGACTGCGTCGGTGGCGGCAGCATGGGCGGCTGCGGCGGCGGCGCCGGGGTGGGCCCGATGCACCCGATGGTGGCGCGGGCCCTGGCGTCTCGCTCCTGGGCGCGGGCGCGGAGGGAGGAGGCTCCCCAGAGATCCAACGCAACGTAAAGATCAAGGCGGAGGCTTTTCACAATTTTCGGCGTCTGGGGTCCCCTCGCTGGGCCGCAGGATTTTCAAAAAATGGTTCAGGATGAAAACACCGGCCCTGGGGAATGGGTAAAGACTTCCGGGGACCCTGCATGGAAAAAACACGACATCGGATCTCTTGGCCAGGAGAGCCAACACACACAGAGACACAACTGAGCCTCGAGTCCCGGGGAAATCTGGGAAAACAGATCAAGTGGGGGGGAAGAGGAAACTCGAGGATATGTGGGAGGATGTATGGGGATCCTGGGACTCGTGTCTGTTTATTTGTGTGTCCCTGGGCCCCTCCAGAGGCCGAGGAGGAGCAGCGGAGGAGGGCGAGGAGAGCCAGTGCCCTGCACCAGCTGGCCAGAGGCTATCCCCGGCAGCGCTGGCCAGAAACGGCGCCGCCCCTCCTTCCAGGGGACGGTCGATGGTACCCCAGAAAGGGTCTTTGGATGCAGTCAGCCCGCAAGGGTACCCTTGCATCCTTGCCTCTTTTGTCCATCCTTCGCCACTCTCGTCCCGCCTCCTCGCCCCGCTTGAAAAGCTTCGAGATGGGTGTCCAAGGCTCTTGCATCCTCATCGCGCATCCTGACGATACGGGCCGACTGCACCCCCCCACAATGGGGGTAGCTAGGTATTCTTTCGGCGACCTTATTGAAGGACAAGGGTCCCACCAATAGCGGAAGATGATTCTTCATCCACGGCACCTGCCGCACAACGGCACCAGGCAGCAAGCGATCCCGGGGGTCCGAGCTGGCCACCGAGGGGCTGCGCATGCTCTGGCTGACGTAGACCGCCCCCTGCGCCTGGCTGGCCAGATTCGCGGCACGCCAGTGGAGGAGGAGAGGGTGTTTCTTGGCCAAGTGGAGCTGCGATCTTCACGGGATTACTCTGTTCAGTGGGCCTTCTTGGGGCACTGCCGGGGTCTCGCAGCATGCTTGAACCATCTCGTGGCTGTCCTGGGGCCCGAAGAATATCGTCGCAACACCTTCCCTGAGTTTGGCTCGCGGGCATTCTTGGGAGTGTCGGCGGCCTCGTCTGAGTTATCCTGGGGCCTTTGGGGGGCCTACTGGAGCCATGCTGAAGGTAGCCTTTGGCTCATTTCGCAGGCCGTCTTGGTCTTTCGGGGGCCGTCTGGGGGCCAGACTGGGCCATCTTGGACACCCCAAAGCCGCGCCTGCGCGGGGTCCAGTATTCAGAGAAGCGGTTGGGGGACAGTGGTTATGTTGAAATAGCTGACACGCCGAACCATCCACGTCCAGAGTCTTTGCGCGCGTACTTTACAAGCACCTGCACTCTGACGATCTTGGTGACCTTGCTGATCGGCTCTTGATCGCTGATCTTCTCCTGCACTCGTTGCAGCAGTTCGACTGTCGCCGGTGCAGCTTGGCCAGGCCCAGATCAAGGCGTACCAGAGGCTGGGCGAGCAGCAAAAGGAGGCGTGCACGGAAAGCTAATGGAGGACGCAGATGAGGATTGCCAACTAGACCACCCGCCTTCACATCACACTGGCATGCTTGCCAGACCCATCCCCGCCGCCCACGATTCCGCACATGATCAGTCTATTTCAGCGCTCATCAAGTAAGCACGTCTCGCTGTCGCTGCTCAACTCTATTATTTCTTTCTCCCAGAAAGAACGCGTTCTGTGGTCGCTTGGAGGCGCGGGGGGGTTGGAAGCGGACACCCCCCCCCGTACTTCTCCTCTCTCCCTCTCCTCGGGCCGGCGTCGGCGGCGGCTGGCGGCGGCGGGGGTGCTGGCGGTGGTGGTGGTGGTTGCGGTGGTGGTGGTGGTAAAGTGGTTTGTAGTGGTTGTTGTGGTGGTGGTGGGTTGTGCTGCTGGTAGTAGTGGTGGTGGATTGGGGTGATGGTGGTGGTAGTGGCGGTGGGTTGTTGTAGTGGTAGTGGTGGTGGTGAGCTGTTGTGGTGGTGGTGGTGGCTGTGGTGGTGGTGGTTGTGTGGTGCTTTGGTGGTGGTGGTGGTGGGTGGTGATGGTGGTGATGGTGGTGGTCGTGGTGGTCGTGGTGGTGGCGGTGGTGGTAGTGGCGTGGTGGTTTGTCGTGGTGGTGGTGGTGGTGGGCTGTGGTGTTGGTGGTGGTGCTGCTGCTGGTAGTGGTGCTGGTGGTGGTGCTGGTGGGTGGTGGGGGGGGGGGTGGTGGTGGTGATTGTGGTGGTGGTGGTTGTGGTGTTAATGGTGTGGTGGTTTGTGGTGGTGGTGGTGGTTGTGGTGGGTTGTGGTAGGTTGTGGTGGTGCTGGTGGTGGTGTGGTAGTGGTGGTGGGTAGTGGTGTTGGGGTAGTGGTGGTGCTGGGGTGAGGGTGGTGGTAGTGGTGGTGGGTTGTTGTGTTGGTGGTGGTGGTGGTGGGCTGTTGTGGTGGTGGTGGTGGCTGTAGTGGTGGTGGTTGTGTGGTGCTTTTGTGGTGGTGGCGGTGGGTTGAGGTGGTGATGGTGGTGGTGGTGGTGGCGGTGGTGGTGGTGGCGTGGTGGTTTGTCGTGGTGGTGGTGGGCTGTGGTGTTGTTGGTGCTGGTGCTGCTGGTAGTGGTGCTGGTGGTGTTGCAGGTGGGTGGTGGGTGGTGGGTGGTGGGTGGTGGGTGGTGGGTGGTGGGTGGTGGGTGGTGGGTGGTGGGTGGTGGTGGTGGTGGTGGTGGTGGTGTGGTGTTTTGTGGTGGTGGTGTTGGTGGTGGGTTGTGTTGATGGTGGTGGTTGTGGCGGTGGTGGTGATTGTGGTGGTGATGGTTTGGTGGTTGGTGGTGGTGGTGGTGATTGTGGTGGGTTGTGGTGGGTTGTGGTGGTGCTGGTGGTGGTGGCGCTTTTGGTGGTGGTGTTGGTGAGGGTTTCTTTTTGTGGTGATGGTGGTGGTTGTGGTGATGGTGGGTTGTGGTGGTTGTGGTGGTGGTTGTGGTGGTGGCGGTGGTGGTGGTATGGTGGTCTGTGGTGGCGGTGGTGGTGGTGGTGTGGCCTTCGGCTCTTCCCGCCACTGTGTTTTGGCAAAGGGTCAGAGTTCTAATGGATGCCTCTTGAGGTCTCGTCAGAAAAGTTTCGGGGGCGTCTGAGGAGCATGCGAGGGCTCGATATGGCGATGTGTGTGTTCCCTCTGCGGCCTCTGGACCCTCTCTGGTCATCGTCGCTGCGTCACCGCCGTCGGCGCTGCTGGCCGCCGCCAGCGCCAGCACCGGCGCCGGCGCGTGGGGAGGGGGGAGGGTTTGAACCCCCCCCCTCTTTCTGGGCCCTCTCTGGTCATCGTCGCTGCGGCGGCCGCCAGCGCCGACGCCGGGGGGAGGGTTTGGACCCCCCCCCTGGGAGGGGGGCGGGGGGGTAGGGAGGGGGGGAGTTAGGGAGGAGGGGAGTCCCCCTGGTTCTGATCGACGGCGCCGAGTGTTGGGGGGAGGGGCCTAACCCCCAGTTCGAAACGCGCCGCCGAATGTTCCCAAGGCAAGTGCCCGTGAAACGCGTTCTCTCTTCTCTCGATGTCCCCCCCCCTCCCTAGATCTTTCATGTTTTCGCCCATCCTTTCTAATCTTCTCCTGGCCTTCGGCCCATCCCGCAACCGCACCTGGATTGTGGGTCAGAGTCCTCAGGAATTCTTCTTGGGGTCTCTTCGGAGCGCTATGGGGCGCCTCTTTGGGGTAGTTTTGAGGCCTCTTGGGGGCCTCTTAGGGACCTCTTCGGAGCCTCTTGGGGGCCTCTTGGGGCTTCCTGGGGGGCTTTTCGAGGCCTCTGGGAGCCTCTTGGGGGCCTCCTGGGGCCGAGGGCTCGAAATTTCCGTTCGTGGCCCCCCGTCTGGGCTTCCTTTTGAAGCCGTCTTGGGGGCCTCTTGGGCCGTCTTGGAGGCCTCTTGGTCCGTCTGCGGACCCTCTGGGGCGGTTTTGGAGCTCTCTTGGAGGCCTCTTGGGCCGTCGTCGGGCGATCTTTGGGGCCCCTTGAACCGCCGTGTTGCGTCGGGAGGCCGAAAAGGCGACAACACCAAAATCCTCCAAAAACCACAGGGAACTTAAGCCGACGGTAGGAGCCCACATGAGAAATTGTTCAGATTGCCCTTCGCTTTTTCGTCTTCGCCCTGGCCGAAGCCCCTCGTCTCGCCCTCTGTTGCGCCTCCTCCTCATCCTCCTTGTCTTCCTCGTCCTCCGTCTCCTCCTCCTGCTCGCCCTCCTTGGTTCAATTTCTCATCTTCGTTTTCGTCCTTGTCCTCCTCTTCCTCCTCTTCTTCCTCCACCTCCTCCTCCTTCCCCCCCCTCATCTCCATCCCGCCTGTTCTCCTCAAGCACCTCTCCTTCCTCCTGGCAGGGCGGCGCATGCCGATTTTCCTCGGCGCCCTCACCGCCGCGCCCGCCAGGGGCGCGTTCCCCGATGGCAAAATCGCGAAGCCGTCGGGGCAACGGCCGTTGCGATAACCCCGCGAGCCGTTGGGGCGCGAAAGCAAGCCGTTGAAGCCGAAAAATCACGACAGTTACAGGTTTCCGATGACCCGCGCGGATTACCAAAATGAAGAGCGGATCCCGTAAGGAGGGGTCTCTCGCTGGAGATTTCCTCGCAGCTTACTCACGGACGAAGCTCCCGCCTGAGACTTCCTCCGTCTTCAGTCCAGAGGAGCCAAAAAGTGACGACGGTTACTGGTTTCCGATGACCCGCTCGGACAACCAACATGCAAAGCGGACCTCGTAGGGAAGGAGTTCTCGCTTGAGACGCCGCGGCAATTCACTCACAGACGAAGACCCCGTTTGAGACTTCCTCCATATTCAGTCCAGAGGAGCTGGAGAGCGACGACGGCTACAGGTTTCCGATGACCCGCTCGGATTGCCAACGTGAAGTGCGGACCCCATACGGAGGAGGCTCCCGCCTGAGATTGCCTCACAATTCACTCACAGACGAAGCTCTTTTTTAGCGGATGATCACGATGCGATGCTGATAAGGATGAATGTGTGATGATAATGATGGTGGTGGTGAGTTCGCGATAGTGGCGCTGATGACGAGCTATGCGAATCTGATGATGATGCCGATGGTGATGATGAGTGTGTGTCGGTGAGGGTGTGCTGATGACTCTGAATGAGTGTGTGTTTGTCCTGAGGATGACGCTGATGAGGGTGTGTGAGTGTGTGAGGAGGAGAAGAGGTGAGAAGGAGGACCGCGCGGAGGTGTGCAGGGAAAACAAGAACCCCATTAGGATGTGGGGAATCTATGATTTGTGCCTCTTGGGGGCCTCTTGGGAAGCTTCTTGGGGGCCTCTTGGGGCATTTGGGGGGCATCTTGGGCTGTCTTGAGACTCGCTTGGGCGTCTTTGACAGATCGTGTGGCGACTCGGGGCCCCCATTGGATTGTCCTGGGGGCCTCTAGGGGCATTTTGGGCTCCTAGTGGGGCCGGGCAAGCCATGCGACACGACGCCCCGGACCCCAGGGGTCACGACGGGAACCCCAAGAGGTCTGGCAATTTCGGGTCCAGGCCTTGTAATGAACCCTCGGGATCGGGTACGAAGGCTTGATGGACCATGCCAGGGACCCGAGGACACTCCACGTCGTGCCTCGAGGGCACGGTGGCAGATCTCTCGGTCTGTCTGTCTGTTTGTCGGTCTGTAGTTATGTCTCTCTCTCTCTCTCTCTCTTTCTGCTTGTTTTTTATATCTCTCTATCTCTCTCGCTCTCCCTCTCTCTCTCTGTTTCTCTCTCCTTGTCTCTTTATATATATATAATGGATTTATCAATATGATTATATGTTTCTCTCTCTCTCTCTCTCTTTCCCTCTCTCTCCCTCGACACCCGCTTGTCTTCTCCATTTCCATCGGAGCTGTTGCCGTCTTCTCGCCCCCTTTCCTTCGGCTGTAGCCTAGGCGTGCTTCAGTGTGACTGCAGCCCGCAGTCTCTCATGATCATTGTTGAAAGGACATGCCGCTCGGACAGGCAGTTGTTAGACCATTAAACCTCACTGGATTAAGCATGGCACCGTCAGCACGGACCGCAACTCCATCCTTCTCATGAGGAGTGCTCTGCGAATGACGTTTGATGTTCACTATTGCCACCATGAGGGTTCGTGCGCTTCCACCGATGTTGGACGAGGACGAAATTGAGGATGAGGTGCATGAGAAGAAGGGAATCGGAAAAGGATCGGGACCATGCGAAGGCCGAAGCGCAAGAGGGGGATCCGGAAGTGTCCCGAGCCTCTGGATACGATCCTTGCTGCTTTGTGGACACCCCACGTCGCAGCGCGCTCGCGTGCAGCGCAGAAGCCACAGGTATTTTCCGCGCGTCCGGCCTTCCCTTGGAGCCAGGGATTTACACATCATAGCTTCTTGATAGGTATGGGGGCTCATGGATCGCTGGCATGTTGGAAGCCTGAGGCACACATGTCTCGCATGATTTCGTAGTCTACACGCAGGGAAGGATGGATGCGATATACGGAAGCTAAGACGCCAGAAATCGTGAAGCCATGCCCAGGGTCCCCCAGGCGCCTTCACGGAGCTCCTCCTTCTCCGCGCCCCCCCTCGTCTTCCTCCTTGCCCACCCCCGATTCTCGGCGAGGCGTAGCACTCCTACGCCGACGCCAACCTCGGCGGCAAGAGGGACCCCGCCCGCGCCGACGCGGCCGCCCTGCAGAATTTTATCTCCACGTACGGCGTGCCCTGAGCGGCGCGGCGCAGCGCTCACCGCCTGCTTCTCCTCCAGGAGTTCCTCTTCAGCGTTGGGCTCTCATCGGGGGCCCCCAGTCGGTGCGGTGACCATGCCGTGTGGCTGGCTGGGGTGGCTGCACGGTCTTGGGACTCGGGTCGCTGTCCGAGGACGTCTCGGGCGACTGGGGCCACCAGGTCTCAAAACCGTGCGGTGACGGTCCTTGCAGTGAGGTCTTATGAGACCGTTTTTTGTCTTTTGGCGAGCGTGACGTTGGGGGCGGGGGCCAGTCACGTCACGATTTGCGCCAGCGCCGGCTGGCAAGGATGGCTCATTCCCAGACGGCGCTGGCGCAAATCGTGACGTGACCAGGGGGAGGGTGAGGGGTGGCGGGGCCGCTTACTGGCGCTATCGCGAATAACGACTAAATGGGCTCTTGTCGGCGGCGAGCGAGGGGGGGAAGTGAGAAGGAGAAGACCTTCTCAGAAGGCGGCGGGACTTCTCAGAAGCCCTCGCGCCTTCTGAGAAGTTATTTCTGTCTTCGGGGAAGGCTTAGAAACCTTCTCAGAAGTCCGGGGGACTTCCGAGCATTCTGAGAAGGCACGCCCCTTCTCACTTCCCCACGTGGCTCGCCGCCTATCTTGGGGATTTCGAGGTCACGCCCATAGGGAGCTCGCCCTCCACAGGGGGCGTCTCCTGCGGTGGAGAGGAGCGCCTTCGGGGACTCATGAAGAAGGGGCCTGTGGCGGGAGGGTGCCTCGAAACATCGATGATGCATCTTGCGCTTACTCTGGTCCTCCTCCTCCTCCTCCTCCTCCTCCTCCTCCTCCTCCTCCTCCTCCTCCTCCTCCTCCTCCTCCCCCACTTCCTCCGAGATGCGCCGCGCCGGGGTCAATTTGAGGGATGCGCCGAGATCAGCGTAGGCCCGCGCGCGGCCGATGCGAGTGAGGGGTGTGCGAGACAGAAGGCGTGGTTGGTTGGAGTTCCCTAAAGGGGCCCGAAATGTGGCGCTGCAGATTCGAAACGAGGACCCAGCTCCACACAGGAGGAGGCTGGGAATGAGGCGTCGGATGCCTAGGCCCCCTGTGGCGTCCTGCACACGAGAGCCGGACCTGTGCTTCCCAGGCCACCCGAGAGTGGCGCGCGCAGACGGCGGCGCCCCGCGCTTCCGTGGCCTGGGCGACGCAGCTGCCTCGCGAATGGCCTCGCGAGAACGCGAAAGTGACAGAGCTTCTCGCAGCACGCGAGCGCGAAGCGAGGTGGCCTGAAGGACTTCTCCTGCGCGCCGCTGGCATCACGCAGGGGCGCTCCAGGAAAGGCCTCGCCTTGGGCGCGCTCTCGCCCTCGGCTGAGGCCGGCAGATAGCCGGCTCGCTACAAAGGCGGGCCCGCAGATCAGCCAGGGGCGGCCTCGGTACCCTCGCGCCGCGTTTGGCGGCGCCCCCGACGCTCTGCACACCCCGAGTCGACTGGACGTAGGAGTGCCCTTTCGCTGGAGTGACCTTTTAGCGCGGGCACAAACAGGTCCCCAGATGGCTGAATGCGAAGCAGCGGCTTGCGTGCCCAGGTTTGGCCACCCCGCGTCTCCCGTTAAGCCGCGCACCAACGGTCACTCTTGCCTAGGGTCACTCCAGCGTGTAGCCGACAGCGGTCGGGACACCGATGCCTCCTACCCTTGGGGACCTGCTGAGGCGTGCCAGGACGAGCTCTGGAGGCTGCCTGCGCGTGGCCCCAAGCCTTGCCGCTCTCCCCACTTCCATCTTCAGCTCTCTCCCTGTCCCTCCTCCCTCTGTCTCTCCCAGCTGGGAGGTGCTTTGCCTTAGATACGCGCAGGGCGGATTCGTTGTTCAGGCGCTGAGCCCGTCCGCATCGGAGGGAGCGCGATCCGAAAGAGAGCCCTCTCACACCGGTGCGCCTCTTCTCTCGTTCGCCCCGCTCTCCGTTTCCCTCTCGGGTGCGCCTTGACCAGGGAGCTCGGCGCGCCTCCCGCCCAGACCTCCGCGCTTGGCCACGCCAGGTCGATTGTACACTGTCCCCAAGCTGAGCCCATGTCCCGTACTGAGCCCGGTGTCAATGTACGGTCGGTCTCTTGGCATGGCCAGCGGCGCGGAGGCGGCGAGTGCAGGCCGATGTTTGCGCACTGGGCCTGGGATGGACCTGCACGGGTTCGGTGTCGGCGTCCCCGACCCTATCCCCCTGGGGGGCTGACAACATGTTAGCGAAATGCATGTTGTAGCGGCGGCAGTGTAAAATATGCCCTTCCCCTGGGGTGTTCTCTTCATGATATCCCGGGGTGATCAAGAAAAGCGGGTCGAACAGATGTTTCTTTGAACAGCGAATGCGAGAAGGAGCCCCGTCTGCATTCTAAGAACAAATTTCTGAGTCCCCGGAATGGGAAAAATGTGCAGCCCGAGTGCGGTGTCTTGACGTGCCATCGTGCCGTGCCTAGCCGTACAGTCAGCCCGCATGGTAAGGATGTGCAGCCTTTCCAAGGGTACTGCATCCTTCCCTTCTCGGCCCATCCTTGGCCACTTTCGCTGGCCGCGCCCCGCTCGAAACGCTTCGAGGTGGCCTTCCAGGGCCCCTGCACCCTTCTCCTCGCGCATCCTCATGACACTGGCCGACTGTGCCGTGCCGTGCCCGCGTTCCGTGCCGTGCGCGTGCGCGTGCCGCCCCCGAGCTCTCCTACAGGAGTGCGGAGGGGGCGCCATGCCGCGCCCGCGCCGTGCCGTGCCCGCACCCGCGTGCCGGGCCTGCGGGTTCTAGAACGTGCGGGGAGGCTGCGCTCGCCTGGCGCGTGCCGTGCCCGCGCGCTGTGTTTCGGAGGTATGCGGGCGCCACCGGGGCGGCGCAGGAGAGCGGCGTCGTCTGTGCCGGCATTGGCGCGGTGAAGCTTCCCGCGTCTCGTCTCTCCAGTGTGTGGCGTGCCGCGCTTGCGGCCCGCGAGTAAGCCACCGCGCAAGGTCACTGTGTGATCTCGTGTAGGACCCTGTTTCGATCGTCGCTCACCTGCCTCCTGCCCCCACCTCCTCCTGGGGTGAAGCACAGATGCAGCTCCTACCTCGTGCCGGTCTGCAAGACACTGCTTCTCTAGCGGCGGCGTGGTCGAGGTTTTTGTCAGCTGCTCGGCAGAAAAAAATAAGACCTCCTCCTGGAGACGCCGCCCTCATCAGCTGTGGCCGATCCCACTGGAGCGCGAGGCAGCTGGAGGCCAGAGGAGCGCAGAAGAAGACGACGACGTCGCAGGGCGCCACGAGGGGCTGCGGCGGCGGCGGCCAGCCCGGAGGCCGCAGGCTGCGCGGCTCAGCGACTCCGAGGCCCCCCGGGCCGTCCAGCGGGTGGATCGTCTTCGCCGCCGCTGCCATCGCCATCGTGGCCGCCGCCGTGCGCCTTGGTCATGCCAGTGCGGCCGCCGTCGCCGCCGTGGCCATCGCGGTCGTCCCCGCCGCCGTCGCCGACGCCGTCGCCGTCGCCGTCGCCGTCTTCGCCGGGAGGCGTCGTCGCCTTAGTTGGCTTTTGTTCGGCGGTGTTTGGGGCCTTCGGGCTTTTGCTCGGTGGGCCTCGGCTGCCGCCCCGCGCCTCTCCCGCCAGAGCGCCGAGTGCCCGTGTTTACGGGCATTCGCGTGCTTCGGGGTGCCCCTCGGGTCTTCTTCGGCGGTCCTTGTCTTGTCTGGAGGTCTCCAGAGGGATGCCAAAAGTGGTCGGGCGAACACGCGGTAGGGGGCGTCGGCGGGCTGTGGCTCCAGGGGAGTGGTATGGCAGCCCGTCGGGTGCTGCCAGGGTGTCCCTGGCCCAAGGTCTGTCCCAAGATGTCCTCGACCCATTCGCCAGGACGGGTTTTTCATCCTTTGCCGTTTTTTGACAGTCCTGGGGCCCGGCGCGGGCCCCTAGAGGCCGAAAATTGTGAAAACCCTCCGCCTTGATTTTTTCAACACGTTGGATCCTTGGGATCTCCAGCGAGGAGCAGCCCCCCCGAGTCCCACGGCGCCCCAGTGCGGTCCCGAGGTGGGCACGAAGAGCTGCGGGGCGAACCTCGGGCCAGGGACACCCCTGGCCCCCCCCCCGAGTTTAAGGAGGCCCGCGGGCTCGACTCTCCGTGGATGCCGTCTACAGCGCCAGTCTCATTCCCCTCGTGCCGTGTGGCAGTCAGCGCCAGACCACCCAGTGATTGATGGGCCGATTCTCCACCACCACCACCATAGGTAGAGGAGGAGGAGGAGGAGGAGGAGGAGGAGGAGGAGGAGGAGGAGGAGGAGGAGGAGGAGGAGGAGGAGGGAGGAGGAGGAGAGGAGGAGGAGGAGGAGGAGGAGGAGGGGAGGAGGAGGAGGGAGGAGGGAGGAGGGATGAGGGAGGAGGGAGAAGGGAGGAGGGAGGAGGGAGGTGGGAGAAGGGAGGAGGGAGGAGAAGGGGGAGGAGGAGGAGGAGGAGGAGGAGGAGGAGGAGGAGGAGGAGGAGGAGGAGGAGGAGGAGGAGGAGGAGGAGGGGGAGGAGGAGGAGGAGGAGGAAGTGGGGGAGGAGGAGGCGGAGGAGGAGGAGCAGGAGGAGGAGGAGGAGGAGGACCTCCCAATCCCCTCCTCCCCAGTCCTACCTA